AGTCGCCTCTACCCACCGACCTACAACGCAGTTCGTATACGACCCCCAGCGCGTCGACAAAATGTTCGACATGCTAGCCAAGTACGAGGAGAACTTCACCCGGCATCTTAAGATCCTGCTGGATACACTAAACTACCTCGCTGCTACCGAGACAGTGGTCTTCTTGAGTCTTTGCGCACGGTTGACGAGTGCTGGAGAAGGTTTGAGTGGCTTCCAGGTACCCATGGGCATGGAGGGTATTGCTTAGTAGGCTTCGGCCTTGTGGGCATCAGGCGTTGTTTCATGCATTGCATTATTTTGGGTCATTGGTATGGGTTAGGGATTCAGTCTGCAAGGCGCCAAGCGAGCGATACCATAGTTGTTTGGAATGAGACGCAACGAATTACGGCCATAAGGTTCTTCAGTCTTGAAAAATGCGGCATTTCATGGCATGTTTGGTGTATGAACGAGGCATTTGCTCATATCCGAAGTAATTGGCACTACCTACTCTACATGGGACGCTTCTAGTACGTCTTAAATGGACACCCCTTATCAGCGCTCGAACTCTTAGTCTTCTCCTTGACCAACTTCGCAGTGAAATCCATCAATTGCTCGCCCAGCTTCTGGTTGTTCGCTAAGTCACTACCCGGCTCCCGTATCGCAGGAGGGCAAACGTACTCGCCAGTACCCTCTGTCTTGGTCGCCGCGTACATGGTGCTTACACAACCCTCGAATTGCGTCTTCTTGAACGGCGCCATACCAACGCTCATAGCGTAGCCGCCCAACGGGTAGGGCTCGTGGATCATGTCGACAGATTGCCGTGTCTCAACGAAACCGGGATGTGTAGCGTTGGACAAGATGTTGGGGTGGGAAGTAGAGAGATGACGAGCCAGGTAGCGTGCGTACAGGATGGAAGCGAGCTTTGTGCGGCCGTACTGTCCCATAGCGCCGAGGTCTTGGTTGAGCTCCTCGAGAGACTCAAACTTGACGTCCTTGGGTGCGCTCTCGTGTGCGTTGGATCCGAGTTGTACGAGACGGACCTTGTTGCCCTTGTCGGCTGTGGACTTGATCAAAGGCAGCAGGTGAGAAGTCAGGACTACATGACCCATATGGTTGATGGCCATGTGTAGATCGACACCGTTCTTGGCGAGCTGGTATGTCATGATACCTCTCGCAGCGTTGTTGATCAAGATATCAATCCGGTCTGTCTTCTTCGCGATTTCGAAGGCAACCTTTCCGGTTGCTTCCCAGTCCGAGAGATCGCACTTCATCCATTCCACTCTGCTGGCCTTGTCCTCGCCCATCTCTTCCTTGATGGCTTTGAGTGCATCGTCGATGATGTCTTCGCTCATGGAGATGATGAAGAGCTTTTTGATGTTGTGTGATAGGAGGGTGTGTGTGCATCCGTAACCAATTCCCTCTGAACCACCAGTCACAACGGCGACCTTGCCGCTAAGATCTGGCACTTCCTCGAGCGAGAATCGCTGATCCGCGGGTGCGAGGTCATGGGCGCCAGAGACGACCTTGCCGAGATTCTCGGCAATGGCGTTCTTTACTGACTGCATGGTTGATGAGGTTTCAACTGGGCCTTTGAGGCGGTCGTTATTGTTTGGAGGAGTCGACGAATAAGCTCTGGATGTGGTAGAAGTGATCCTAGCAGCGGATACGCGTGGTAAGGATGATGTAGTTACAAAAGATGACTTGCAGCAACGCAGGGAGACGGCACCTCTAAATAACTTAGTAGACTGCATAGTTACAGCATGTGTCACAGGACAGCAGCATCCATCGTATTAGCACAAGATCTGAGGTCATGGTACACCGTGACGAGCCGCCTTCCGCGGAGCAAAGCAGCCAATGCCATTTTGTCTTGATGTCAGCACTTTTTCCTTTTGGCGCGTTCCTGGATGTTGTGGAGCTCGCATCGGGAGCGGATCGTTGATGATCTCGTCATGACGCGTTGATGGACGCCTGCATGGCCTGCGTGTTGGCGAGGCTGGAGGTCTGGAACTATGACGTGTTGGGTATAGTGGGGCGGGTATTATCGATAACGGCGCGACTTCCGAGGTCAGCTTCACGCGACGTTGGTGGTCCCCTAATCGAGTAGACGAGAGCATCGTCGCTGCCCTCATTCACGACACTATGGTAGGAACGCTCAACGGATACAGGGACCTCAGGTATGTATATCTTCAATTGGAGTAAGTGCGTCCACGGAAAGACAGCAAACGCAATGGCTCCTTCCCAACAGCGCAAGTCAAGCAGTAAATGCGAGCGATTGGAAAGCGACACAAACCCAAACATCGCTGCGGATTACTCAAACCCCAATACTACCGTTTCATTGCTGTCAGCTGCAATCCTCCACCGACCGAACGATGTTCAAAGCAAGACCAGGAAAGAGCACTAACATGCGACAGAGTGCGATTTCACATTATCTTCACCCAGACCGGGCCGCCATGATCTCATCAGCAGACCAATCCGCCTCAGCTGCGCGTGAGAAGAACGCCGCCAACCCACCGGTATTCGAGAAACCACCCACGAGCAGCACGCCTCTCCCGCCCGATGTGGCAGCCGCTCGTAAAGCCCGCACGAACGCCGACTTGATCGGTGCCTTCAAGAGCACCTGCCTACCCGGCACAACCCCCTACATAACAGGTGTCGGATTGTATACCCACGTTGAAGGCGCACCACTCCAGTCCCCAATGTACCCCGACGAGAACCCACAGCCACAACCCGAATTCTTTCCGATACGCATACCAGAGAGTCGAGGCAACGAAAGCTCACAACCGGACGAAGAGGTCCAGAAGCTATGGAATGAACTCGAGCTTGCCGTCGAAACAGAGGAAGAGTTGATTGCTACAACCGAACTTGGGCTTAAGGAGCTTAGGAAGCGGTATCGTGCTCTTCCTCCTCCTAAGAACTCGCGGTCGCCGGTGCAGCGCGGTCAGCAGCAGTCAGAAGCCATACAAGGAGACACAGCGGCTCAAGGCGCTGCTACAACGAATGCGGGAAGCATGAGCGCTCCCAGCGCGCCCACCAAACCGCGCGGCCAGTCGCTAGCTAGCGTAATGTCTACTCTTGCGGTAGGAAATGAGAATACGAGCAAGGGAGGTACCGAGCCCGAACGAGGCAGATCGACGACTACATCTACTACGGGCTTCTACGCTCCCGATCCACGCAGACAGGGACGATGAGAGTGAAGAAAGATGGAGACAACTCCAGAACAGACCACACGGGATCTTGCTCGAAAATGGCTATTGGACTGACTTTCTTCTTGGTCTGCCCTACCTTCGGATATACCCTTAGTGAGTCATTATGGTGTTGACACGCTGGACGTCGAGGCTGTGTGTATGTTAAACCCATCACATTGATGCTCTCATGCCTCGAAGCTAGACAAATCCTTCATATACATGGCTGAGATGCGAAAGCATTATACGTACCTCGCTACATACATCGCGCCAAAGACTACTCATCCACACAGAGCAACCTCATTCCACGGCTTATGTTACCTCTTCATAACCAACACTTACCCCATCAGGATCCACATGCGCCACACGCATACCTGTTCCGTAGCTAAGAATAAACCAGTTCTCATTCCCCGCCCTCAGCCCGCGTCGTATCCACGAGGCATTGCGCCTCTCATATCTGACTATGATGATGAAGAGCAGTACTATCAAAGCGACGGCTAGTGCCATCATCACAGTGAAGAAATTGTCGATGGCATTTGGTTCAAGATCGCGCGGAGTGGGGGCCATGCTGCACGCACTTGAACCGAGATCGGACGATGTGAAAGGGGGAGTGAAATGATGGGTTGACTGAGCTCGATATCGATCTGTTTTTGAGACATTGTGGTGGCGTTGTTATGGCAAACTGCCGTGCCAACGTGTTCGTATAGTGCGAATGTAGAAGATCAATAGAGGCTACGAGAACATTGTAAAGGAAGACAGCGGAATCAGAGGATGCCGGTTTCTTTACTTCTCGGAAATGCCTGTAATGTCGAGTGAAAGCATGTTCAGAAATTTAGTGAAAGATCTATGTTCTTGTTGCTTCCACAGGCATTCCTTAAATGTCCACCACCAGCCAGACACACACTCCTCAACCCAGTTTTACAATGTCCCTTCTCTGGATGCGCGCATCATCTCATGGCCTGTTGAAAGCAATGCTCCAACCGGCGAGACAGCTACTGCCAAACATCGGAGCCCTCATTCTCGCGTTCTTAGTGTGGCTCGAGCTGAAAACTGGAGTCGTCCTTGCCTTCTTCGCGCTTTACGATGAACATCCTCGCTTCTTCCACATTCTCTTCCTGACAATCAGTATCGGAGTCGTGTGTAAGCTCGCCCGCTTCATCCTCCGACTGCAAAGTACGCCAAAGACCGCTGATCCGTTCAGATCGGCGCCATACAGACACAGACTCGAAGAGACCCCCATGTTTCCACCGGGTATGGAGTTCAACCGGGTTCAGGAAAGGTGGAAGAAAGAGGGTATGGAGAAGCCATTCGTGGAGGAGCGAGCATTTGGCTCAAGTAGGCCGGAGGAGGTGCCTCCAGCGCGGAGACCGTTATTCAGTGTTCATACAAGCACTTTACCGAGACCGCAGTCAAAGGGACCGCCAGTGAATGCGGCGTTTGGGAAGGCTGGTTGGGGTTAGGGTGTTGACAGCGATATGCGGCTGTTTTGGGGCATCCCCAGGGTCCATGTAGTACACGGCGGAATTTTTGCAGATCAAGATGTCGCTATACTACTGCAATGTTTGGAACTTTGGGAGGTTATCACTGAAGAGCGTTGAAAAAATGCAGTTGTTGTCACAGCAACTACGAGGCAAATCACAGGTTTTCATCACATGAGACATGGACAAGAATTAAGAAACAACTGATTCACTCAATCAAGAGGACCGTGCAGTAATCACGCGCCGATACATCACAACAAACGCTCGCGGTCACCTATAACTTCAGTTCATTTGATCTTTTGAGTCCAGTCTCCCACCACTTGATCCGATCACCAAGAATTGACTGCTGCCTCATAACATCATGTCAGGCTTTCTCATCAACCAAGAGCCGCCTACTCGTCTCGAGCGCTTCGTTCAAGACACTATCGACTCATCCAAAGGTTTCTTCGCCTACCTCTTCCGTGGAAGCTGTCTGGAATACTGGGTGCTTGACCCCAATGGTCAGGCTTACACGCTCTTCCTGGCGACACTGCTAGGCGCTTCGATCTGGCTCTTCATCCTAAACCAGAACTCAGAGGCTACCACAGCTTCAAAGTCCGAGCAGCACTGGCCCGAGAGCGAATTGGCGGACGCAATGGACATTGATGGCGAGGGATATCAAGGCGACGAACATCAACCATCGACTCCGCGTGCTTCAACGTATTCAGGCGAAGAGACACCCATCATGCGCAAGTTAGCACCTCATGATCACCGTCCTGTCAACGCGCACATCCAAGGCTCGCCTTTTCGAGTAAAACAACCTCTGGGACCTCGCATCCGTCAATTCGCACCGTCCACCGATCAGTCTCCCTCTCCACTCAACCCCCGGCTTTCCAAAGCTTTCTCGACTAGGCCTTCTCAGCGCGATAACTTCTCGAATCTCAACAAAGACACTCCGGTAGCCAACAAAACACTCCAAGAAACTAGCCGTTCTGGTGTGGGTGACATCTTTGAGGAGTGCAAGACGCAGAGCCCGGTGGTTGCTCACTGGTCAAATGAGGGCGGCCAGCGTTATGATCGAGCGACCTTGAGGCGCGAGGTGGCTACCAAATATCTTTCCTAAGGTTGTCCCGTTCTGTTATTCATTCGATGTGCATCGTCGCGGCTTCCCTCTTGACGACTATGATCCTGCGTTCTGAGGCGAGGGCAGGTGGCATGCGCAGGTGAGAGAAATTGCGATAACGATGGAGGAAGCGAGTACCTGCGGATGGGGAAGTATCTGCCTGCGTCATCGGTGACACACACAATCAGCACGTGAGGGTAGATAAACAAGCGAATGTGCGTCCACTTGACTCAAGAGCAGCTCTCCTTCTCTCTCTTTCCCTTCACCTTGATCGAGTGACAGTCTCGCAACAACAACCTGCGATGGCTGCATGCACGATCTGCGATGCGCTAACTAACCTCAATACTGATGGTATTCTCCTACCCACGCCCTATGCCGGTATAGGCAGTGACCTGGGTTTATGCCGAATGTGCCGTTGGATGCCTCAGAATAGCGTTTGGGCGGCTGCGCCAGACTGGAACGCGCTCTTACAGCTGAACCTCCTTTTCATTCGCGGGGAAGTTGACGTCAATCCGAGCTACCCTCCTCTCCTCAAAGCAGAGACCACGCCACTCGTATCTGGTCTTGTCAAACTACATGAGTACGGCATCCTCACAACCAGATCCCAACCGTTCAGGGACACGAGCGGGTTCATCACCGGCTTGGGCTGGGTCGAGGAGCGAGAGCGTCCTTATTTGTACTTCGAGGTCCCGACATTACATCCAGAGATTCCAATTGACAAAGTCGACACCCTTGTCCAGAGGCTCTTTGCCGATCAAAGACTTCTTGTGTCAGCGTACTCAGAGTGCGATTTCTACACCGTAACGGCAGCCTCCGTGCGGATGAGCCGGGTCGCCCCAGAGGCCGGCGGTCGTCAGACCTATCATTTTCGTACGAACGCCGCCTGGACTAATGATACCGTCGCCATGACTCGAATAGCGAAAACCCCCAAAGGCTTGATGAAGAAAGAGTGGACGGTGCACACTTCTTTTCCTTGGACCTCCGTGGCCTACTTGGTGCCTACCGCAATGCTATGCGGTAGCGCAACTAACTGCGACAATTTAGAGGCCGCTGAAGCCGTGAGACCTCTGGCGATCGGCATAGTAGGGAAGAGGTGGGATCTGGACCTCAATCTACAGGACATCTTACGAGAGCATTGCGAAGGCGCGGGCTTAGCGCGTGTGCTGGATGTTGAGTCGAGAATCGGACGGCAGCACATGAACTTTGACGGCCAAGGTGGTTCAGGCTGCGTGGGTTGACCAGTGTGTCCATGGCCTATGCGGGTATGGTTGAACAGAGAATGAGGGATGGAGGGCCCCGGAATCAAAAGATGACAGGTATCGTCGATGGCATCGTTAACGCAGCACCTTTTATCGCTACCCACTTTCACCGCGGCGATTGCATATAATCATGAATCTATTAGTTTCTTCAGTTTAAAAGCGTACAGTCATATATCGCGCTCTTGTGTCACTCACGAGAAGAGAAGACGTCAGTACAGAAATTGATACCTGCCTAAAGCGGTAAAGCGCATGTAAACCTCAAGGGCGCAGTTCTGACCCATACTTCGGGCTTCTAAAGTATCTCGAACATTCCTTTCAATCTTAGGCGCTTGATAACTTCAAGTGACTCAATCGACTATCTATCACGCCAGCCGAGCATAAAACGTCGCATGTACTGTCGACTTTCCAGGTATCCAGCGTGCGCAATCCTCTTCCGCGGCACCACAACACAAACACCAAAACGGGCATCATCAGCCCGCTACATCTACGATACGACCACCACGCATTTCATCTTTGATACCTCTCGAACCATCACCACAATGGTAGACCCTCTATCCCAAAGAACAGACCCCCTCTACCAAAAAGATGGCCAAAAACATACCCACACCTCCACCATAACATCAATCCACGCCCTGTCATCCCTACCCGCAGATACTCAATCCCTCTTCAAACCACCACCAGAAACCGAACCCTATGTCCTAACAACACCCTCAACAATCTTCCACGCTCAAGGCGGCGGTCAGCCCTCGGATGTTGGCACCATCTCCACCGGAAGCACAACATTTCACGTGCATCAAGTCCGCAAGGTCGATCCCGCAATCCTGCACATGGGCGTCTTCTCTTCCTCTGACCAGAAATTCCCCGAAGGAAGTAGCATAGAAGCAGAGCAGAAGATCGACACTTCGAAACGGCACCTACACTCCCGGATCCACACCGCCGGCCACGTCATCGGTCTCGCCGTCGCGCATCTAAAAACCACAGGTACAATTGCTCCCGACGTCGTCGACGGAAAAGCATCGCACTACCCCGGCGCCGCTTTCGTAGAGTTCTCAGGCCTCATCCCGGGAGACAAGAAAGGCGAGATACAGGCTAGAGTCGATGAGATGGTTGCCGCGGACATGGACGTCAAGATTCATTTCTGGGATGAGGAGAAGGCGAAGAAGGAGTGTACGGGGGTTATGGAGACGCTGAAGGGAGATGAGGAGGATGGCGTTAGGGTTGTGGAGATAGGGAGTGAGGGGAGTTATCCGTGTGGCGGGACGCATGTGCAGAAGTTGAAGGAGTGTGGGAGGGTTGTTTTGAGGAATATTAAGAGGCAGAAGGGGATTACTAAGGTTAGCTATGAGGTGCAGGACGTTTGATGGGGTTCAGTGGCTGGGTTGTGCACATAATGTGCATTGCGAATATATTCAGCTTTGTTCCTTCTACCTGGTATCATGTCCTAAATCCTAGAAAGCCGGCTCCACTATTTTACCTGCGCCTAACCCCCCGCGTGCTATCATGCGCATCTGTTCTCACAGATATTTTAAAGTGTCTCCTAAACATCTCCACAGGTCTAGCTCAAGTAAGCAGCCAAAGCTTGCTTCGAAACATCGTCCAAACGTTCTTGCACAATCTTGACGATACGGCCGCCGTGACGGGCATCCGCATCTTTCAAATATTGAGCCACCCAAGCCTTCACATCGGTGATTTCAGGGAAGGGATCACGTGGAGCCTTCTTGCAGGTGTTCAGCTGGGTGAAGCCGACACCGAAACCGAGCTCGTCGACATCGGCATCGGGGATGATGTCGTCTGCGGAGGTAGGCACAGGCGGGTTGACCAGTAGCTCGATCAAGCGCTGTGTGGTAAGGGTCCAACCCTTGGGGTAACGGCTAACGAAAGCTTCCGCGTCGCCCAGGGTCTTGGTGAACGACACAACTGCGGTCTTGCGGTCGGTTGGGCGGGCAAGCTTCTGGGTGTCGGGAAGAATGACAGTCAAGTAGATAGGCTTGAAGATGCTGTTGCGAAGTTAGTAATTGATGCCTACAATTTGGAGAATCTTTCACTTACTCATTCTGGACCTTGTCGGACTCTTTGATGAAGAAGTCGGCGCCAAGTCCTTTATCCAGTCGCGCTGAAACGAAGTGATAGAACGCAATGAAGCGCTGCTGGAAGTTCTCTGTCTTCATGTTCGACAGTCTTGTGAGCATTAGCTGGAGGATGGTGACAAAGTAGGGTTGTAGCGCATCCGCTGGGATGTGCGCAACGACAGCTTCAATCAGCTCGAACGAGTATGTCTCGTGAGCCTTGCTAGTGACCAGCTTCTGGAAAATACCCAGAATAGGCTCCAATTGGCTGCTTGTCACGATGTTCTGTGCGTCGCGAGCAACCATTGCACTCAACAGTCGGGCTAACGCAGGAACGTTACCACGCTGCTCCCAGACCGCACCCTTGAGGATGATGCCGAATACACCCCTGTAGTATTCGCTCAATTGGCCTGAAGGGTTTGCTTCTAACAGCGCGGAGAAGATTTGGAATATGTACGGAGAGAATTCTTCAACGTTGTTCTGCAAGCAGGTTGCAAAGGGCTCGTACAACTTTTCCTCGAAGAACTGAGGATGCTTTGGGGCACAGAAGCGGACAAGTGCCCCTATACCTTCGAACATGTAGTACTGGAAGCGAGGGTTGCTAGGGTTGTGCCTGATGACCTTGACGATGTTGATGAAGCTTTGAAGAATCGACTCGCATATGGGCAGCACATCATCGCGTATGAAAATAAGTACGCGCATAACGCACTTCATCAAGAACTCGTTTTCCTGGATCTTTTCCGGGGCAGAGCTCTTTGTGATAAGCTTGAACAAGTGCGCCAGCAAGTCTTTCGATGAGCCAACAACGTCTGACTTGGGTATTATGGGTTGCCGTTTGTCGTCTGTCATGTACAGAGCACGCTCGACAGCGATGGCAGCGTATGTGTGAATGACATAGTTGTCGTTGCCCAGCTGGTTCACCAGCAGGGGGAAAGCAGCGCGCCAAAGGTCTGGTGATAGCAGGCTGCGGAAGACGTACAGGAATTTGATAGCATCAACCTTCAGAATGGGCGATACGTTTTGGGCCTGAAGGTCAGCTGCGACGTGTGTCTGGAAGAACTCGAAAATGTTGACGTTCTCGTTGACGCTCATGATACCTTGGCCAGCGGTAGCGGTTCCCTTGGCAGCAATGGCGGTGAAGAGGTAGACTGCGGTATCCTTCGACTTCCAGTTGTTTTGAGGGTCTGCCGCATAGTTTTGGAGGTAGGCGTCGATGTACTTCTGGGAAGTAGTCGTGACAAGGCCCTCGAAGCGGTCCATGAGTTTACGCAGGAAGTTGGTGGCAGCACGTCGTCGCGTATCGTTGTCGGACCCCTCCAGGTCTCTCCTGATGAACTCGATCGGCTCATCTTCGAACAATTCCACATCAGACTCGCGCAGAGTAAGATTTGGCAAGATGACCTTCTCGATAATCTGGACTAGGACAGACTCGTTGTTGAAGGCTTCGGCATGTTGTGTGGATGCGACGGCGGTGAGGAACTGTAGCGCCTTGCTGACCACGATGTCGTACTTGGTCTCGAGGCCAACCGACATGAGGAAACTCCAGGTGCTTTCGATGAAAGGACCCAGGTGCGACCCAAATGCGTCCTCGTATTTCTGAATGTAGAGCATGAGCACCTCGAAGATGCCCGCGCGTACGTACTCTTGCGGCCCCGACTCTGTGTCATCATCGGTG